CACATTCTTAAAACAAAAAGCAGAAACTGTTTTAGAGATATATTTTACATTCAAAGAGAATTGCAAAGAAATATAAAATTTTGCTCAGTAGCTTACTATTAACAGTATTACTTGTGTTGTAGTTCTGATACTGTTTAATATGTACTTCAAGATAAAGCAAGTAAAGTAAGATGTTATTAGGAACCAAGATTTTCAGTGTAAAAGGAAAAAAAAAAACAGATATAAAGTCAAATACAATGAATAAAATCCCTCAAATTTTTAACTGGTATATCAAAATAAACTCATAATTATAAAACAGTAATAAATTTCTATCTATAACAAAGAAAAGATAAGGAATAAATGACATAGCAATAAGCTCAGCCCTTCATAGTCCAGATACTGGTGTCTGAGTAACAGATATTGGTGTCTGAATACCTTTATCTATTAAAAATAAATCAAACCTCATTAGAGAAATGGCTAATTCTAAGTCTGGGCAGAGAAGATACAAGGTGAGTCTATGACAACTTGTTGTTCTAGAAAGAAAGTGTTCCAACAAGGGGATTGGACAATGAGCACATGATAAAAGCTAGAGTACACAAGGGAGGGGTGAGGATAGGTAAGACACCTAAAAAACTAGCTAGCATTTGTTGCCCTTAATGCAGAGAAACTAAAGCAGATACCTTAAAGCAACTGAGGCCAATAGGAAAAGGGGACCAGGAACTAGAGAAAAGGTTAGATTAAAAAGAATTAACCTAGAAGGTAACATCCACGCACAGGAAATCAATGTGAGTCAATGCCCTGTATAGCTATCCTTACCTCAACCAGCAAGACCCCTTGTTCCTTCCTATTATTGCTTATACTCTCTCTACAACAAAATTAGAGATAAGGGCAAAATAGTTTCTGCTGGGTATTGAGGGGGGACGGGAGGGGTGGGTGGTAAGGGAGGGGGTGGGCAGGGGGGAGAAATAAACCAAGCCTTGTATGCACATATGAATAATAAAAGAAAAATGAAAAAAAAAATAAAAAAAATAAAAAATAAAATAAAAATACCTTGAACTGAGTTGAAAAAAAAAAAAAAAAGAAAGAAAGTGTTCAAAACTACTGGGGGCAAGGTGAAAAGTACTCAGAAGTCGGCTTGAATGGACTCCCACATTTAGGTAATATGGAACTTCATAAAAAAATGACAACTGGGTTTGTTGTCATTTGAAATGAATACAAATTCATAGTAAGTTGAAAATATATGAAGTGGGACTCTACAAGAAAAAGCAAAGAATAACCACCAGGAAAAGAGCATCTACAGTAGAGCTATGAACTAAAAAGTTCTCAGAGCTTGATCAAGGCTGAAAGATGTCATAGATCTGAGTTGAGACACCTTGTTTGACAACCACAGCACTGACAGGGCTAAATTAACATTACTGGAAAGGCTACTCTTGATTATACTAAACACAGCTTCAAAATAAGCCTCAACATGATGAAGCTGTCCTATAAGTAAATGACCTGGCAACCAAAGCAAAACTCAATTGTTTATAAACACTAAGTATTTGCAAAGCAGAAAAACATGAGCCACAGCCATGAAACATATACTTCAAACTTTACAAAGAAGTGACTTCAGTCTTACAGGCTTACAGGAATTCTTTTAGAAAACAGAAGGGTTATGAGCATTTGTAGCTGATTTTAAGAAAACAAAACCAAGAACCTATTATAGGCCAATATCGCTCATGAACACAGATGCAAGAATTCTTCTGTTTGTTTGTTTTTGTTTTGCAGTGCTGGCGACCAAAGCCAGGGCCTCATGGATGCTACACAAACACTCTATTACTGAACCAAATTCCCAGCATAAGAAACCCATGAACTTTACATAGATAATTTGTTTGGTAGCATTTGCTATGTTTTTTGATTTGTTTGTTTATTCTTTGTTTTTTCTTCAGTTATCTAGCATATAACAAGTAGTCATTAAATTGCTAATCGGTTAATTTACCCTAAATTAATCAGCCAAGAAATAATTAATCATTATATAACCCTTATTATTTTGAAAAGCATAAGGCATTTATATTTTTAATTTATTCTCACTGAAAAAGTTTCTTTAATCTACTATTGAGCACCACACATGGTTTTCATCCTAATTATCAGTAAAAATGGAATGGAAGCATAATAGATAAAAGACTGTATGAAGCAGATTGATCAGCAAGGGAGGGTATCATTCATATTAGTTGGAATTAAAAAGCAAACATGAGCTGGGTACTGGTGGCTCATGCCTGTAATTCTAGCTACTTGGGAGGCTGAGATCAGGAGGATCAAGGTTCTAGGCCAGATAGGGCCAAAACATTTATGACATCCCGTTTCAAAAGGAAAAGCTAGGCATGGTGGCAGGTGTCTGTCATCTCAGTGACAGCAGGAAGTCTAAAATAGGAGGATCAAGGTGCAGGCTGGCCTGAGCAAAAATAGAGACCCTATCTCAAAAATAACCAGAGCATAACGGGCTGGAGGTGTGGCTCAAGTGGTAGAGCACCTGTCTAGCAAGTGTGAAGTCCTGAATTCAAACTGCAATCCCACCAGAAAAAAGTAAATATGAAGGATGTAATGGAATTTTAACCAGCTTTGTTTTGTTTAGGCACTTATAACAAAGTAGCTAACAAAACCAATGTAAATGATAATCTAGCAAAAAAAAAAAAAAAAGGAAAAGGGTATAAAGAGATATGATTCAATCGCTCTGAACACTCTATGGTCTAGTTTATATAAAAAATTCATTATGACAATCCTATAAGAAAATAAATATTGCCCTCATATTTGCCAGCTAATTTTAGCTTAGCTTGACTTTTATATCTGATAAGAGAAACCAAGTTAAGAGATCATTTTATGACATCAGCAGGATTAATTAAAATGTACAGATATTCACAATTAAGTTAATGGATCTGACACTGTGGTTTTAGCACATTCTATTATTTTGGTAAGAAAATTATCTTTGAGAATGGAGACTTAAATACTTGTAATAGGAGAAGTGAGACATTCTGCTGTAGGAATCTCACTTTGTATTTTTAGTTCTAAACTAACAAGCACCTGCTAATGGAAGTAACAGGCCTAAATGAAGACTGTGTGACTGGTAACTATTACTGCTACTTATACTAAGGATGAGGGAGGTTGGTGGAGTTAAGGCACTAGATGGTGACACCATGGATGGAGCCTGGAAATGGAAAATACAAGAATATACTCTTCAGAAAAATGTCTGAGATTTGTCTCAAAATAACCACTCCTCTCCCACTATGGCTTCATCCAGAGCACAGAGAAACAAACAGGAACAACTCTTTAACCAGAAGTCAGAATTTCCCTCACTAGGCAAGGGCCTGCCAACAGTATTTGGCCACCATTGTAGGGTAGTGGTTTAGCCATGACCCTGAACCTGGAGAGGAAAATAACTATTCAGTGCACACCCTGCCCTCCTCAGCAGGGAGGCTATGTGTCAGAGCATGCCAAGAACAAAATGGAGGTGGGGTGAGGGCAACCTGCCCTGGCTCACATCACTTCCCTGGAGTTGTGCCAAAAACATGTTTGAATTCCCTGTGCATGCCTATGTTGCCACTTTCCTAACCCCATAGGCACTGAAGCACTTTATTAAAAATCTCTAGAGTCTGAAAGGGTGTTTGAAAAATCACTAGTTTAGATGAACTCTCAACCAATGCGCAAATTCCTTGTATAAAGTCCCCAACAGACACTTGCCAGAATCATCTTGCCACTTAGTGCGCTATGTTATGTCCCAGAGGTGCATATTCTACCACTGGAAAGATCTGTTAGAAAACATCTCCGACACCAAATTTAAACTTGCCTCCTTCCTATCTTCATCCTTTGGTTCAAGTTCTGCCTCTTGAGGTTGCAGGGCATAAATTTGTGCTGTTCCCTTTTCTCTGTCTCATCAAAATTCACTTACCTGCCAGTACCCAGGGGTTGTAAAGGTTTTTTGTTTTTTGTTTTTGTTTTTTTTTTTTTGCAGTACTGGGGTTTGAACTCAGGGCTTCACACTTGCTAGGCAGGCGCTCTTACTGCTTGAGCCACTCCACCAGTCCTTTAGTACCCAGGGGTTGGAAGTCAGTGTTTCATGCTTGCAAGGCAGGCGCATCAACACCTGAGACCCTCTTATGGCCCTTTTTGCTTTGGTTATTTTTGACACAGGGTCTCTCTGTATGCTGTGGCCAGCCTGGACTGAAATCCTCTTTAGGATTCCTGCCTAGCTGTTATAACAAAGATATGCCACTATGCTCAACTTTTATTGGTTGAGATGGGGTCTTGAGAACAGTTTTCCCCTGCTGGCCTTTAATCCAATCTTCCTGATCTCCACCTCCCAAGTAGCCAGGATTACAGGCTTCAGCCACCATGCCCAGCCTTACCTTTCTTCTTAGGATTTTAACCAGATCTTTCTTATTCTTTTTTTTGGGCAGTACTGAGAGTCCTAGCACTTCCAGGTAAGCACTCTTTCACTTGAGCCAAGTCCACAGTCCATTTGCTTTTAGTTCATTTTTCAGGTAGAGTACCACCAGGGCTGGCCTTGAACTGTGATCATCCTGTCTCTATCTCCTGAGTAGCTGGGATTACAGGTGTGTACCATCAAATCCAGTCCTACATCTTTCTTATTCTTAAGAACCCAGTTCATTCCCCCTGGATCCAGAGAACCTTTCATATAGGGGAGATTTTTTTAGGCTCTGAGTTTCTATAAATCAATTTCTCTACCATCACTGTGATTGATTTATTATGTACTTTGTGAAAATTTTAAAATTTATATCTTCATTGTGACTTAGTTCTTTCATTATTTATGTTTCATGACTATAGTCTCTTCACAGCAGGTTCAGACTGGTCATAAGTACTGCTTTCTATAAAGCAGGTACTCAATAAATAGCAGTGTGGCCACAGAGGAAGATGGTGAGTCACCCTAACTTGATACAGATACAGAAATTCAATTTCAAAGGTGGATATCACAGCTGGGACACTGTAACTGCAGCTGGACAAAATGCCACAATTACCTGCCACCTTACCTCTGCTTTACGAATATTTTCTCTAGCTTCATCTATTTTCTGTTCCAGCTCTGCTCGGCTTTGTTCTGATACAGCAACTCCGTGACATTCCAGATCATTTAGAACCTATTGGAGAAAACAGGAGAATGATGACTGTCTCTCTTCTCATCCTCTTTCCTTAGGTAACTTAGAGTATTTAGATAATTCAAAAAGCTCTAGTGACTGAAGCCATGATCCCTTTTTTAACCATTATATTTGTTTCATTTAATTAATTAAAAATCTGAAATAATTATAGAATGATAGGAAGTTGCAAAACTATAACAGAGTCCCTTTGCTTAACTTCCCTCTGGGTTTTCTTCTTTTTCTTTTTTTTGGCGGTTCTGGGGTTTGAACTCAGGGCTTTGTGTGTGCTAGGCAGGTACTCTACTGCTTGAGCCACACCTTCAGCCAAGCTTCCCCCAATAGTACCAACTTATATAACTATATAGTAGGACCCCCTTGTCCTCAGCAGATGCATTCCAAGACTCCCAAGAGATGCCCGAAACCACAGATTGTACCGAATCCTGTATTTACTATGTTTTTTCCTGCATGCCCTGCAACATTGCCACTTAGGACCAAAATTAACCATGTTACATCAGGGTGCTAGTCTTGTGCTTTGGGGTCATTATTAAGTATATCAGAGGATTACTTAACACCAGCACTGTGATACCATGATGGCTGATGTTATAACCAAGGCAGCTACTCAGTATATCCTAGGTGGGGAGAACATCCAGCATGGACATGTTGGATAAAGAGATGATCCACACCCAGAGTAGAACTCAGTGACACTTTACTTAACACTTACAGAGTGTTTATTTCAAGACTTCTCCACTTAATATTTCTGGACTGTGGTTGACCAGCAACTGAAACCATGTAAGGTCAAACTGTGATGAGTGGGGAATACTGCAGCAAAGGATAAAAACCAAGAAATCGACACTGACACAATCTAGAGACCTTACTTAGACTGCATATGTTTTAACATGTATACCTGTGTGTGTGTGTGTGTGTGTGTGTGTGTGTGTGTGTGTGTGTGTAAAGTGGGAAGAGTATAGCCCCCAGAGTTTGAGGGGGTCCCAAGAGAGGGTACCTGAGATATATTCCTTTGACTTTTAGAATTTACATGAATATACAGTATTGTCGCAAAACAACTAATGTAAAATGATACAAGTCTCCATTACACTGCACAATCTATCATGTGCTCTCTACCCCAAGACAACTAGTACCCCATCAGAAAAAAAAAAAAAGCTGGCCTGGCTCACAATATAAACCCTAATATACAGAAGGTGAAGATCAGGAGGGTCACAGTGTGAAGCCAGCCTGGCAAAATATTAGCTAGACCCTATCTCAACAAACAAACTGAGTATGGTGGTACAAATCTATAATCCCAGATATATGGGAGGTTTAGGTAGGAAGGTCTAAGGATGGCCCTGGGGAAAAAACACAAGACCCTATTTGAAAAATAACTAAAGCAGAAACAAACAAAAAAAGGACAAGCAGTATGGCTTAAGTGATAGAGTACTTGCCTATGAGGCCTTAAGTTCAAACTCCAGTACTAAAAAAAAAAAGTGAAATGAGACCTATCATTTCCTCGAAGTTTTAAGGAAATCTTACAGTGTTAATAACAATAAACTGACTTCATTCTCCTTAAGTAATCCACAGATTCTAGAGTTTAACTGTATCATATTTTCTTTTCGCAGTACTTTGGGTTTGAACTCAGGGCTTTGTGCTTGGTAGGTAAGTAGCTCTACCACTTGAGCCATACCTCCAGCTCTAACTGTTTTATTCATGTTTAATCTATTGCTGTTTGAATTTTCAAACTTTTCAACATTGTATGTAGTACTATACAAAGAACTTAGTCAGTGACTGAACACATTTGGGAATATTTAAAATAAAAACATGAAAGTGGAAATGGTAAGTCAGGTGCAGTGATTTGCACCTATGATCCTAGCTACTTAGGAGGCAGAGATAGGAGGAACTCAATTTTAACCCAGTCCAGGAAAAAAAAAGTTAGCAAGACCCTACTGTATCTCAAAGAACAAACCATGTGTAACAGTTCACATCTATAATCCCAGCAATGTGGGGACAGTATATGGGAGGACTGTGGTCCAAGGCTGGCCTGGGTAAACATGCAAGACTCTATCTGAAAAAAATAACAAAAACAAAAGGGGCTGGAGGCATGGCTCAAGTGATAGAGGACTTGCCTAGCACATGCAAGGCCCTGAGTTCAAATTCTAGTACTTCAGAAGGGTGGAAATTGTATATTTCATTCATTTATTCATTGGGTTGCTTGTTTAGTGGTGCTGGGTATCAGACTCAGGGCTGTGTACTTGCTAGGCAAGTGGTCTACTGCTGAGCTACAGCCCCAGCACCAATATTGTACACCTGAACTTTAACAGACATTGCCAAATTATCCCCCAAAAAGATTATATTTACTCTTCCTCATATCCTACCACACTGGATGCTGCCAGGCTTTAAAATTACGCAGATACCATACTTCAAAACATGATTTCATCTTCATGTCTGTGACTGAAAGAGAGCAGCATTTCATATGCTGCAGGCCCTGTGTATTTCTCCTTCTATGCACATATTAGTATCCATTTCCCTACTTGTTATTAGTTAAGCACTTTTCTCTCTCCATATTAGTTCTTTTCCTATTATTTATGGTGAAAGCATTTCCTCCTCATCCTCTTTCTCTTTTTTACAGTCACATGTGTCAATTTTTTTCTTTTATACTTCTGAGTTTTGTGTCTTGTTTAAGAAGTTACTTGTAATATATCAGAAATATTCTTGTTTTTCCAGTTTTTAATAATCTTGTGTTTAGCTCTTTAATTATTCTGAAATTCATTTTGTATGTAGTAGAAAAAAGGAATCTAACTGTATATTTTTTCCAAAATATACACCCATGTACTGGTGGAGTGGCTCAAGTGGTAGAGCACCTGCCTAGCAAACATAAGGCCCTGAGTTCAAACCCTGGTACTGCAAAAAAAGAAAAAAAAGTATATATATACACACAATTGCTCTAACACTATTTACTTAATCTTTTCCCCAAAGATTTGAAATGCCATTAATATTTTTTTGGGGGAGGGTGCTGGGAATTAGACCCAGAGACTCACACATGGCAAGCACAGGAAACAAGGTCTAGCTATGTAGCCCAGGCTACATTGTCAATTTGTACAAAAAAATCCTACTGGGTGTTTGAACTATATTGCATTAAAAAATACTGAGACTTCAAAAACTAATCATGTCTCAAAGTCTACATGGTTCTACATTGGTATACAAGTGTGTCCATATGCCATAACTCACAGTCTCAATACTGCCTCAACCACTATGGCTTTATATAAGCTTTGAAATCTCAAGTATGAGTCCTCCAACTTTGTTCTTTTTTAAGGCTATTTAGTGTCCCTTCAGATTTCATATAAATTTTAGGATGACTTTTTCTATTTTTGCAAAAACCGTGGTTGAGATTTTGACAGGGATTGCATTAAATCTGAAAATCATCTTGAGTGCTACTGTCATTTAACAGTGTCTTCCACTCCATGAATACTGGACATTGTCCCACTGGGATTTTAACAGGGATGGTCTTGAATCTGTAGATCATTCTATTATCTCTTTGTTGTTGTTTGAGATGGGGCCTTACTGTGTTGCCAAGCATGATCTCAAACCTGTGAGCTCAAGTGATCCCTTTGCCTCAGCCTCCTGAGTAACTAGGACTACAGGCATGAGCCACAACACCTGGCTGTTACTGTCATCTCAACAGTAACTTTCATTCCATAAACATGCATTATCTTTCCATGTACTTACACCCCCTTTAATTTCTTTCATTAACATTTTAGAATTACTTTTTTTTTTCTTTTTACCCCGCCCCCTCCCTTTCCTCCTTGCTTCCCTTCTTTCATTCCTTTGTTATTATAGTGCTGGGAACTAACTTCCCTTTTGGATTGTTCTTTACTAGTGTACAGAAATGCACTGACTTTTGTGTATTGATTTTGTATTCTGCAACTTTGCCATATTCCTTTATTAGCTTTGACAGTTTTGTTTGTCATTTGGTGGAATCAAAATTTTCTACATATAAGATCATGTCACTTGTGAACAGAGATAATTTTACTTCTTCCTTTCCAATTCAGATGCCTTTTGCATCACTTTTTTCTTGTCTAACTGCTCTGGAGAGGATTTTTAGCAATACAAAGTTGAAGAGATACAGTGAAAATCGCATCTTTTACACTAGCTATCTTGCTCCTGATCTTAGAAGAAACGTTTTTAGGTTTTCATCACTGACTATCAATGCTTTTTAACCAATTGACTATTCTGTACTTTGGTGTGATTTTCTTTGTGTCTTACCTGCCTGGGGTTTGTTGGTTTATAATTTTTATTGAGTTTAAAGCTTTTAGCATAAAGCAGGTTTTGGAGATTTGGGTGAAGAGGTGGGTGTGTTTGCATATGAGAGGCAGTGAACAGCTATGTTGAGGGTAGACTGCTATGTTGCGGTACTTCCCATTTCACGCATTCTTCCAGAACTTTGCTATCTCCTCTCCAACTGTGGACAGGCCTTTGTGAATGCCTCAATTTATAAAATGTCACACAAACATCACTGACTGGTTAAGAAGTGAAAAACCAGTGTGCGTCCATTTTGGATCTTGCAATACAGACATTATTGATGACTTTGAAAGTTTAGTCTTTATGAAGGGAAGGAAAGGGAGGGAAGGCCTAAATGAATGGGCTGGTAATCAAGTGGGAGGTGAGGATATAGAGATAATAAGTATGGGAAATTCATTTAAGACGTTGGAATGAAGGCACAAAAACAGGATAGAGATATCAAGAAATTAAACTGAGAAAACTATATATACTTAAAACAAACGCTTTTTACTTAGAGTTTAGACTTAGAAATATAGTTTCATGGAATCTACAATTGTGTCTAAAAAATCTGTCTTGGGGGCTGAAAGCCTACCTTTACCCAACATATGTGTGTCTCTTCCCTGCCCCAAAGATTGCATACACCGTTACTAGCATTTCTTAGGCAATTCTAAACAGATGATGTCATGTGCTCCTGCTAGAGGGCTTATGGAATTTTCAAGGCAGATAACTAAGAGCATAATGATGACTGCTGATAAAATACAGGAAAAAAATAGACATTTTTCACATTAACAAAATTCAACTTCTTGAAACTGTTTGACATTTGACTTAAGTAGAATGTAGCTAGGACCCTTTACTACACTTACCTGTTGTTGGTGAACAATGTTTTTGTGCTCACGTGCCACACGTGTGGCCCATTTCCGAGCCTCCTTATTTAGACTGTGCTCCTCTGTGGTCCCAGTTTCTGATTCTAATTGTCGGCTCTGTATCACAAGAGAGAACAGAGAGAAAAGTATTGTTATCCTTATTGCAACTATTATCAGTCTGTAGTTGGACCAGAGGGACTTCCTATAAACAGCACTGAAAACACAAGGTATGCCCTACCACATGGGAAGCAATGCCTCATGTCACAGAAAGTCACCAGAAGGAAGGCAGTGCGGAACCACAAATGACCTCAGGCTTTTTGTTGTATGTTGCTGAACTTGACAGCTTCATCTCTAAAATTATGAATTGATTTTTGGGTATGAATACACTAGCTAAGCTAAGGAAGGAAGAAAACAGTACTAATGTCAACCTACTACAACACTGAAGCCACTGCACAAGTGAGAATGGAAACACCAGTTTCAATGATTAAAGAATCATTGAATGGACGTGAGTGAGGTGAGCAATATGGTAATAGCACAGTCATGCCTCCCTTCCCCAAGATAGAGGGTTCAATTTTTAGAGACCCATCACCAACTTGCTATCAAACCTCAGCGTAGTTCGCCCTTTCTTTGGGCTTTTTTTTTGCTAGATCAAAATCATTTTTATTCGTCCTCACAAAGAACAAATTGCAAAATCTAAATAAACAACTGTAATAATTAATCCTTATTGTGTTTCACATAACCTTTATAACAACCTTATGAGTCACACAGCTATTTTATGGAAAAGGAAATCAAGGCAGACAGTTTACAAAATTTAAGTTTCTCCCAAATATTGTATTACAACCTTGATTCTGATTCCAGAATCGGAGCTATTAACCACTAAACTATTTTAATTTTCTCTAAACTCCTACAAATCCATAAAAAACTACTGAAATAATTAGAAAACAATTTTTTAAAAATGAATTTTTCCAAAAGGATTTCTAATATAAAAAGGAACATTTTAGAAAGTAAAGAATCTTAGAGATTCATTTGTACGGTCACATAGCTCAAAATTGATAGAACAGAATTTGATGGAGTCATTCCATCAAACTGGATTAAAATTTTTAGTATTTTTGTTGCGGGATTGTGATGAGGCAATAGTGAAATTTTTTACTCTATGTAGACATTTCAGTTAAAGCTAGACTGTGTAGTAATAAATGAATTGTAAAATAATGAAATTCAAATCTAACCAAATGTTGCAATTACATATTATATTCCAATAATTCTTTGGGAAACCAGGACTCTGGGCTACTTTACTGTATTGCTTTGAATGTGGATCTAGGCATTCTAATTTACATCTGTTTTCAGAAGTCAGGAACATTAAAATGTTAAAACTCTTCTGCAGAGGCAAATGAAGTGTACGTTACCCAGTGGAATCTGATGTGTAAGGGTAGAAAGGTGTATTCAGAAGAGTCTAGGAATAGGTTTTTATGTCACATGGACTTAGTGTTGAATCCACTCTATACCATTTACTAACTTTATAATCTTGGGCATGTTTATTAATCTGGGTCTTAGCTACTTTTAAAATTTGGTAAAACTGCCACCAATCTTAGGCTAAGTTGGGGTCATATTTTAAACATTGGAGATATATATATATATATATCTCAATAGTGGTAATCATTGTTATTAACGACCAAACTGAAAGTTACTTGAAACAAAAATTTTCTCATCACTAGATGAGACATTTTCTCACCCAAGGATCTAGAGTAGATCACTCTCACATAAGATGTAGTATTTGCAGTGGTTGATTCTAGCAAAGGCACTGCTAGTGACTGCTTCTTTTTAAAAGTACGGGATAATTTAATTTTTTGTTTGTTCTTTTAAAATGTTTTTGAAACATACAAAAGAATAGTGACATATATGAACTATTAAGTACATAAAGAACATTGTTATCTTCTTGAAGCAGAATGTAAGAATTTAAAAATTAAATGTCAAATAGTACTGTAACCTGGCTCTAGAAAAGTTCACTTATTCAAATAGACTTACTATAACTACATCCCTATCTCTCACCCTGTAAAAAAAATCAATTATGAATGGATCAAAGATCTTAATGTAAGATCAGAAGCTTTGAGATTGCTAGAGGAAAACCTTTGAAGATATAGGAATAGGTGACAACTTTCCTGAATAAACTCCAATTGCCCACAAAATCAGAACAAGAACTGAAAAATGGAATTGCATCCAATTAAAAAGCTTCTACACAGCAAAGGAAATGATTACTAGACTCTAAAGAAAATCTACAGAATGAGAGAAAATTTTTGCTAGTTATCAAAGATTAATATCCAGAATATATAAAGAGCTCCAAAAATTAAACATCAAAAATAAAAGCCAATTAATGGGCAAATGAATAGTTTTCAAACAAAGCACAAATGGCTAATAAATACATGAAGAAATGTTCAACATCCTTAGCTATAAAGGAATTCAAACCAAAACATCACTGAGATTCCATCTCACTCCAGTAAGAATGGATATCATCAAGAAAACAAACAACAACAAATGCTAGTGGGAGAGGGGGAGGGAAGGAATCCTCATACATGGTAGGAATGTAAATTAGTGAAGGCTACTATGGAAATCAATATGGAGGCTCCCCCAAAAACTAAAGATAGAACTACCATACGATCCTGCTATACCACTCCTGGGCATGTATCTGAAGGAATTTAAGGCAACAAACATACAGTAGAGATACCTGTACACCCATGTTTATAGCAGCACTATTACAACAGCCAAAATATGGAATCAGCCTATGTGCCCATCACCTGATGAATGGATAAAGAAAATGTGAGACACACACACACACACACACACACACACACACACACACACAGGAGTATTGGAGTATTATTCAGCCTTATTATAAAGAAGAAAGAAATTATTTTCAGGAAGATGGACAGATCTAGAGATCATCACATTGAATAAAATAAGCCAGACTAAAAATGACAAATATTGCATATTCACTATTATATGCAGAATCTAGTCCTTAAAATTGAATGACAAGGCTGGGCACAGTGGTTCAAGCCTGTACTCCTAGCTACTCAGGAGGTGGAGATCAGAAGGATTGCAGTTCAAGGTCACTCAGGGCAAAAAGTTTGCATGACCACATCTCAACTAAATGGTTGGGCAAAATGACTATCATCCCAGCTATGCTGTGAAGCACAAATAGAATCATACTGTAGGCCAGCTCAGGTATAAAGCGAGACCCTACCTCAAAAATAACCAACACAAAAAGGGCTGGCAGAGTGGCTCAAGTGATAGAGCACCTGCCGAGCAAGCCCAAGGCCTCAAGTTCAAGCCCCAGTACTGCCAAAAAAAAAAGACAGGAATGTAAAAGAGGTTCCATTTAGGGTTGGGTATCAGTAGGAGTGGGGAGGGTGAAAGGAAAGAGTGAAGAGGGTGAATGTGGTTGAAGTAGTCCATACACCAGTATAAAAACAGAACACTGAAACTTGTTGAAATTGTTTTAAGAGGAGGAGGAGGGATTATGGGGAACAACAGAGGAGGTGGATTTGATCAGGGCACATTGTATGGATGTATGGAAATACTACAACAAAAATTCCTTTGTACAACTAATATATGTTAACAAAAATGTTAAAAATTAAAAAATTAAATTTCAAATAGCACTGGGAAAGTTCACTTATTCAATTTGATTATTTTATTATTCTTAGAATAATAGTAGCACAAAATAATTCAAATAAATTAGAACCTGGAGAGGAATGCTAGAAAAGGACTTTCCTATCAACCTTTAAACAAAAGGTAGGTAGCTTTTATTTTGCTCAGTTTGAGTAGCCTATAAAGTAGGGGAGGTCAAGTAAATGTGATTCTTGATCTTTGGAAACATCGGGATTTTAGAAATCATAAGATTTTAGTAAAAAATTTCAGAATTACAGAGATCTTTTCCTGGAAAATAAATGTCTAAATACAAGTCTGAGCTTTTGAGTATTATTCCCTCTGGTTGGAATGACTCTTAATTTTTTTTGTTGTTGGTCACAAATACTCTTCAAATCTCAGTTCAAGTACTACCTTTTTGGAAAACTCTCTGACCTTTCCAGATAGACTTGGGGCTCTTTTACTTTTGACATATCTCCATTACATTATCCATTTGTTAGACATTTATTGAGTCACCACTTGATGTCAAGCAAACATCAAGTTATGCTGAATGTTGCACAGGTTCCTGTTTGGTTTTAGGCAATCTGAGACCTGGGAAATATCTCACTTCCTGCATTGCTGGCGTCCAGGACCATGCCACACAGGACACAGAATGCTCTCCAAGAATGCTGGTTAAACAAGTACAACCTGATGCCCTGATTCCAAAGGGAGGGCGCCAAGGCACCAGATTATTAGGATGTGCCTCCAGAGATGATAAGAAAATATACACACTATATCAGAATAAATTTTCTGAAAGATTATTGTGAGGGGGAGGGAAGAGCAGAATGAACAGTAGAAAGGGAACTAATTTACTAAGTGCCATATATTTTAGTACCAGTTTTCAGAGCTGACTTTAGGACTGAGAGCCTTCTCTTGCTCATACAATTAAATGTCATCTAACAAAACCCTTTTTTTACTACGGGGTCCTGGGATGTAGCTCAGTGGCAGAATGCTAGCCTATAATGGACAGGCCCTGAGTTTGATCTCCAGCACTGTCAAAAAAAAAATACACTACAAAATCTATTGAAAATGAATGACTAAGGAAGGAAAACTTGTACAAAACATATTGTGAAATTTATTAATTCCTTAAAAAAAAGCAGCCATTGAGTCAGATGCCAGTGGCTTGTGCCTGTAATCCTATCTACTTGGGAGGCTGAGATCTCGAGGATCACATTTTGAGACCAGCCTGGGCAAACAGTTTGTGAAACTTCATCTCCAAAAATAACCAGAGCAAAAGTGGGCTAGAGGTGTGCTTAAGTGGTAAAGTGCCTGCTTCCCGCTTTGCAAGCCCAAACCCCTGAGTTCAAACCCCAGTACCACCACCCCCCACCATAAAAGGCACTGAAATCTAAAGTACATTTATACCCCAAAGAAAGAGACTTAGCTGTGACATTCTGGCCAACTCACCACTCAACACTGCCTGAAAGGGCAAAACAGCTGGA